TGGCACCCACTCCGATCCACTCCGACTGTACACGATTTTTTGAATTGGTGGTCTATCGATCTGCAAACGGCTGTACTCCCATCATGTTCTACCTCCAAACAAAGTTCCATTGCAGTGCGATAGATTGACAGCCGCTTGCAGATCGATAGACCATCAATTCAGAAAACCACGTATAGTCGGAGTGTGTCGGAGTGGGTGCCAAGGACGTCGGAAGAAGGTAGAGAAGTCCAGATGGTCCGATTTCTGTCTCTCGGGGACTTGAAATTGCTTGTCCGACGTGGTCCGACTGTAAATGATTTTCAGAAAGTGGGCTCATCGATCTGCAAATGGCTGGAATACGTTCTTCTGTCTTCTAGACGCCGCGACCCGACGGTCGTCTGGCCCAAGGGCCGACAAGTACTTTTGGCCGTGAACGCCAGCAGTAACCCTAACCCCACGTGGCGAGTGTGAAGTCCTCGTCGGGGTGAAGTGGTCGTGAAATGGTCGGACCCACGTCGTGGATTTGAACATTTCACGCTTGAATTCACGGATGTGCTCTTCCTCACGCTTTTGGATATGCTCCATCCTTTTTCAGCAAGTGTCAAGTTATGTAAGTCCCGGCGAGAAAGGTATATAAAAGACGCCCCCCCGAGCGAACGCCCTTTCTTCACAACCCCCATCATCCGCACCCCCCCCCGTTGAAGTAGAGCCACGGTGATTAATATTACTATTGTCTACCATGCTCTTTCTCCAGACAGCTGTTGCTCTTTTTGCCGGCATCATCTCTCTTTTCCTGGCCTATGACCCTCCCGATTGCCGTTCTTCATCTTGCGGAAAGGAACTCCAGATTTCAACGCTTTTGAACCTCAAGAAATCTATTATTGACATCTTCCGCAGAGCATATGGTAAATTCTGGCTTGGATGGTATATGTTCTTTCACTGACTCTTGACGCTTCTTCAGGCGCTCCACAGATATACAACCGCGACTCCGACCATATCCAGCCCGTCCCCGCTCACTCTTCCATTCCTCCTCCCTGCGCAAGCACCGTCGCTGGCTATTCCTACACTGCGCAGGTTGCGGCCGTCGCTAGGTCCGCCTCTGGACAAGCGCCATCTCCGTTCGTTAGAGGTCTCAGTCCCGAGTCGGAGGATATTTTCAGCTCGGCGCAGGATACTCGAAGAATAATCTGGATGGAAATACCTGTCCCGCGACTACCATCTCAAGCCGATGCCGCGCAGCATGAGCGAGCCAAGCGGCCCCAACAGGATTCACAGTGGCGATGGAAGAAGCAGCAGCAGCCACCCCGCCAACACCAGGACCAAGAAGAAGACGAGCGGGGGCGTGCATGGAGAGAAGAACGAAGGGAGCAGAAGTACTGGGAGTGGGCGACATATAACAACTTGCCCAATGGTACGCCTCCGTTCGTGCTCACAGAGAAGTGGTAGCGCTTGTTTCTGGCCGGGCGATTTATTGGTGCTCAATTCAGGGGCATCCAAATAAGTGAGTTAACTTCAGTTTCGTTACTCCTGTTCGTTCTAAGTTGTCCCAGGGCTGATGGCCCAGCGCAACCCGAAATCTCCCGTCTCCCGGTAGACGCCATCATAGCGGCTTTGATCATCCCTGAATCACTTGCCGGCGACCTATCTCCACCGCTTCAGCGGCCTGAATCTTTTGATTGAGACAACGCCGGGCAAGAACTGCCCCCTCGGACTACACAAGACTCCCGGTCCACAAAGATGACCACGACGACTGCACGATTGCCTCGAGAGAACAACAGCACTGGCGACAGAGACGATTACGACATTACAAAGGCGACGACGACGAAGGGCCTGGATGCGGACGGCAAGGCCTCTCGAAGCTCTCTCCTCGCTGCGATCCTCGCATGTATGCCCCATGGGCGATTGGACGGCGCACGCTTGATTCCGCTCTCTCCGCCATTCACACTAGCTTTCGTGACCATACGCGCTATCACCCGATGAGCTGCATCTTGTACGCTCTACACATCTGCTCATTCGGCCACTTTCCTCTCATCTACTATGGCGACCTTCCCTTAGCGACACTCAACCCTCTACTTTAGGCGCAACTATCTTTATTCGGCCCCGGACTATCTACTACCCACTACCCTGCTACCACACCCTCGTCAACATCCCCTATCGGCATTACTTAACGCGACCAGCCATAGTCTAATCCGCCCTTTTATTCCCATATACTATAGCGGCATCACTATCCACGGCCCCCACATCTATAAACGGTATCCATCGCCGCTTCACTATTCGAGGCAGTCCATTCCCGCGATCATACTAGCCTGAGCAACACGTCACTTCGCCTTACGGTACACCTATCTGTCCATCACTCAGCCTCACCATACGCTACCCGCCACGAGTACATCCCTGTATACAACCTATCTCATCCTATCTTCACCAGCGTCGGCGACGTCACGGTCGAATCTAGAGCTTGTCACCCCCTCTATCCGCTTGCAGCGTGCATCTACACTTCGGCAGATGCATGAAGCCTCACCAGCTTGTGACGCCTTCGCCAGGGGCTCCGGACATCCTGTCAGTTGTGAGTACACCTTCTTCCTCACGCATACCACGGTTGCTGATTCACTATAGAAGCATATGCGTTGTGACGGCAGTTCGACATAGGCAGCGGCCGAGGTAGTCGGCGGGAAAGGGCAGCCGGCGGCCCTTTCCCTTCGGCTTCCTAGGCTCATCAAGACTCGGTTCCCCGAAGTCAAGCGCGAACGCCGAACTTGTTCTCGACCGAAGGACTATCGGTCGAACTGAACCGTAGTGTCCAATCTGCCACGCCCAATACCCGAAGTGTCGCGTCTCCTTTGGTCTGTCTGTTTACCGGCGTTGTCGCCGTCCACTTGTCCGTCCTGGTGTCGGGGCAAGCCCAACGTGTCCTGTCAAGTCCTCTCGTCACTGTCGTCATTCCCAAGGTCCTCCTCCAGCACGGATTGTCATAATCTGTCTTCATCTTTTCCCTAATGAATAATCTTTCGTATGCCCTTCCTCCACCCGGAATCCTTGTTGTTTCTCCGTATATTTGGATTTGTACTCCTCGTATAATATACCTTGGATTGACTGTATAACGGGACTGTAATATGCGTCCCGTACGGAGATAATATATAATATTGGCTATTGGACTATAACGACTCAAGACGAGCTTCTGTTGCTTTTGAAACTTTCTCTTGGCTTGTATAGTAGAAGCATAGCCAAATGCGGTTATGTCTAGTTCAACGTATGTCGACCGTTCTGCTTCTCGGAGCAAAATATATAAAAGCCAGCCACCCCCCTCCTTCGTCGTGTTTCCCCTCTTCCTCCCCCTGTCCCGCGTCCGCATGGGCGGTTCTGTAGCCTAGCCTATGCTCTTATGCTGGTCGTCGTACTTTTCAGGTGAGTTCTGCGCAAACTCTGATTCTTTTAGCCGAGTCTGAATTTTCATATCCGGCGCCTCAAGCTGCAGTAATCTAACAAAGTCCGTTCCCCCCTTGCATGCGAATGGTTCCCCAGAGAGGGACGCTGCACGACTGTGAGGAGACTCCGCCGCCACAGACGTCCATAAAGGTGGGACTTCGTGCGTCATCAGTAGACCACGTGGTTGACCGCGTATATGCCGGGCGGTCGTGCAGCAGGCGTCCCCGCATTTCTGCTCGTCCGCCATGTCTTACAAGCCGCGCAACTTTGGAAAGGGGTCCGTTGAGGTCGAGTCGAACCCGCCGCCAGGCCAGGCGCCGACGCGCAGGCTTGCCATCACGGCGGACAAACTCGTTACGCAGCCATTCGAGGGGATCGACACCGTCTACGACATCCTCGCGTATGCTGCGCGCACGCACGGAACGAACAACGCTATGGGATGGAGAGAGGTCGTGGATGTACATGAAGAGGAGAAGGACGTGAAGAAGGTTGTAGGCGGAAAGGAGGTTACGGAGAAGAAGAAGTGGAAGTACTTCCAGCTGAGCGAGTACAAGTACATCAACTTCCTGCAGGTGAAGGACGCCGTTACGGAGGTCTCAAAGGGTCTGCTCGAGCTCGGAGTGGGCAAGGACGACATCTTTAACGTATACGCTCAGACGAGGTACGTCCCTGAGACATGAGCCCCTTTGACACTCACTCACACTAGCAAAGCCTTAATTGGCAGCTTATGGCTTTTGGCTGCAGCTGCATCTCTACTGCCATTGCAACCGCATACGACACGCTTGGAGAATCTGGTCTGACGCACTCGCTCAACGAGCCCAACTGTGTCGGCATTTTCACCAATGGCGAGCTCCTGCCTGTCGTGTCCAAGGTGATCGCCAATGTCCCCTCACTACGCATCGTTGTCTACGACGACAAGCCATCTCAGTCTGTCCTCGACTCGATTAAGAACTCCAGGGAAGGCATCACGGTCATCCACATTGACGAGCTTCGCAAGGTCGGGCAGTCGAAGACCGAGGACATCCCTTCGGACAGACTGCCGACGCGCGACCGCGTCGCGTGCATCATGTACACCAGCGGGACGACGGGCCCGCCGAAGGGAGTCGTCATCACACAGGGCAACCTGATTGCGTCGGTGGGAGCGGTTTACACGCTCCTCGGGCACTTGTTCATTCCCGGTGATTCGTTCCTGGCTTACCTTCCGCTTGCCCACATTCTCGAGTATATCGTGGAGCTGGCCCTATTCTTTGTCGGGATGACGATCGGATACGGGCGTGTGCGGACGCTGACGGACCAGTCGGTGCGCCAGTGCAAGGGCGACCTCAGCGAGTTCAAGCCGAGCATCATGGTCGGCGTGCCGGCTGTTTGGGAGACCATCAGAAAAGGAATTATCGGCAAAATTAACTCGACGGGCACGGTGAAGAAGAGTGTGTTCAATGGCGCGATGAGCGTCAAGAAGGCGGGCGTGCCGGGTCTCAGCCAGATCGTGGATAACGTGGTGCTGGCCCAGGTCAAGGCTGCCACGGGAGGGCGCTTACGATTCGCCCTGAGCGGTGGTGCGGCGCTCAGCAAGGAGACGCAGGAGTTCCTGAACTTGGCGCTGGTGACTATGCTCCAGGGTGAGTACACAGGCGTTTTTTCCGTCATGCCCCAGATTGAGGGGCGTTTGGAACAGGTTACGGTATGACCGAGTCATGCGGCATGTGCGCTATTCTTCCGCCTGAATTCATGCAATACGGTTCTGTCGGTCTTCCCGTCCCGTCGATCGAGATCAAGCTGCTGGATGTCCCTGAGGCGGGGTACCGGGCCACCAACAACCCGCCACAGGGTGAAGTGTGCATTCGTGGGCCGTCAGTCACGAAGGGGTACTACAAGAGGGACGACTTGAACAATGACGAGACGATCTTCACGAAGGACGGGTGGTTGAGGACCGGTGATGTCGGGCAGTGGAACAAAGACGGTACCTTGAGCCTGATTGATCGGTGAGCTTGGTTTCCCTGCGCCTTGAATTCCGGCTGATTTGGATATAGGATCAAGAACTTGGTCAAGCTGCAGGGCGGAGAGGTGAGCTCATGACCGGAGTTTTGTTAACACGTACTGATCATCCCTTGTCGTAGTATATTGCGCTCGAACGCCTGGAGTCGACCTACAAGTCCTGCAATTTAGTCTCCAACATCTGCGTGCACGCCACCACTGACGCGAAACAGCCGATCGCGATCATAATCCCGAATGAGCAGCACCTCCGTGCGACGCTCAAGACCACCTCCGACATTCCGGAGCATACGCCATTGTCTGAGTTGTGCCAGAAGGACAAGGTAAAGGAGCTGGTGTTGAAGGAGTGTAATGCGGCCGGGAAGAAGAGCGGTTTCAAGTCGTTAGAGATGTTGCAGGCGGTCATCCTCACGCCTGATGAGTGGACGCCCGAGAACGGGCTTGTGACGGCGGCGCAGAAGGTGCAGAGGAAGAAGGTGGCGGAGAAGTTCGACAAGGAGATTAAGGTCCGTATTCGTGGTCCTGTCAAGCCGGAGTGCGCAAACTGACCCTCTGCTTTAGGAGGCGTACAAGAACCAGGGTTGAGGGCTTTCAGTGGAGGGAGAAGGTCGTAGTTCCGTTTTTCTTGGTCGACTTCTTACCATTTACTGTACATATACCTTCGCGCCTAACCGAGTTGTAAGTTGGACATCATAGATTCATGAGCGATTCACATGTGATATCGCGATAACGGCGATTGCCCCAACCGCTCCGACTGGATGCAAGGCCTTAGGCCCAGTGGAAATCGACAATATTTTCGTGTTTTTAGATATGTTCCTCTATATAACAGGTAGAAAAATAGCTCTAAATACAGGGGAATGTAGTAAGTGGCACTTTAAATACATGGATTTATATTCTAGTGAATTGTGCCGCTATCGCAGCTGGCGTGGCATAGGTTGGTAATAGATCTAAATACATCGAAAATAGCTGCAAAATCAGGAGGATATACAGTCGTGGTGCGCCGCGTATATGGGCTTCCCCGGTATCAGGAGTGAGCGGTAGGATATTCTTGTACTTTTACAGATATTGAAATGTGTTCTCATATATTGCCCCCTTGCATGCCCATCTCGTTGTATTTACACTTATTACTATGATTTTATACCTTTTCATGATGTCGTTGTGACCCCCACCTCGCCCCTCTGTTTTGCCGGTCCCCCGGCAATCCCACATCCCCCCGCTTCGCACCCTCTCGTATCCGATCCCCACTTCCACTATCTCTACACGCCCCCCGCCCCCACTTACTCCGGTTTGCGAGCGCGACCTGTCTCCCGTTCCATGTGCTGTACTTGCAATGGGCACATACCTATTCAACCTGTCCTCAGGCCCGCCTCCTGCGTTGATATTGAAGTCAGAATATTAAAATTTTGTAACCTAACTAACAATTACTCACTATATCTCTACACTCTTGTGCGTTCCGCAACGTGCCCCCTGCGGCCCTGCCTCGAGAATTCCGCCTAAGACAAGATATATTGGTAAATAATTCAGAGCGCAAAGGGGACGATACCTTGTGGTTAAGAGGAGTGTGCGTGCAAACGTTTTACTGCGACGCGACGACTTTATGAATCGCGCGAGAGCGGCAAGTGATGTCATACCGCGATCAATGCAGCTAAATATACACCAACAACTTGAACGCGGTAGAGTTGCGGTAGAGTCTGGTAGAGTCCGCGATTCAATCCGACGCGGCCGACGCGCTCACGCAGGCGACACGCGAGGCATGCGCTCACGCGACGCACTCGACAGCATCGCGTCCCCGTGTGACGCACACCTGATGCAGGTAGAGTAGGTCGAGGGAGTGTCATGCAAGTGTCATTCAGCAGTCTGTGGCCTCCAAAATATACAGGTAAACATATGCAAATATATTTAAAGCATCTAAAAATACGAAAATATTGTCGATTTCCACTGGGCCTTAGGCCTCCCGGATGAACGATGAGTACGTTCACATTCCAGCCCAGCACCTCCGCCGGCCCAGTGGCTCTAAATAGTTCTAGGTCATTCAAGTACGTTCCTGGTACATGTTTATGGCTAAAGTGCTGATAACAAACCAGATCTTGTCTTCCGATCATAAACCCTTGAAATCGGTCGCAACGCAAGTTATGAATGTCTATTCTCCAACTCCTATCAGATATGGCTTCTCCTAATGTTACAACGAGAGGAATGCCTAATACTACAGCCGGAAACCAGCTATTTTTGCTCAGGTGAGGACGGCGTCAATGACTGTGGCCGGGTTGAAGTCAGCTGCAGGGAACACGTCCTTCGTCCCATTCCAACGCCAGCCACGAAACGAAGCCTTCGGAGCAGCTTGCAGCTCGGCGCGGGGCTCGCTTATAGCCTCCTCCCGGTTCTGGATTGGTATAGGACCGCCAGCTCGTTCAAGTCTTACCTCGCCCTGGCTGAGACCGGCGACGCACTCTCCGGTCTCCTCAACGCAAATTTTTACCATGGCGTTCCTTGGGTACGCAGTGTGCCAGGGTAGCTCAAAACCCAACTTTGCATAGAGTCAGTGTTTGATACGCGAGGATGGTCATGGGCATTGCACTCTTCCTTCGTCATATTCGCGGCCACAGCGCACCACAGCAGCATTGATAAATGTCGTATCGTACATGTCGCAAAGCAACCCAAAAATCCTACTTGCATCAAATTTAAACACCCGCACAGCTCTGCTTGATGTCTTCCACCACCGCCCGGAGTCTTTCAATACCCGCCTCCTCTAGGACATCGCAGTCCCAGCGTTCTCGAGGTGCCGTGTCCAAAAGCACCTCCGGGTGACCGGGGATGAAAGGAGGCTCAATGACGCCATTCTGATGGCGGTAGAAGCAAAGTTTAGTTCCCATTGCGCTGATGGCATGTAGAGTAGGGATAGGGCAAGCGTCTAAATCATCAGGGTTGTCAGTGACTACGTTAATACTACGTTAATACCGTGGGAATGACCAACTGACTGTTGTGACGGGAATTTGGTCAGTAGTCACAGGATTTATGGTGGCTGAGGGCCTGGGCAGCTGGGTACAACTATTATTTCGTGCCTGTGGTATACTAACCAGGATTTAAGTGGACGTAGTGGGCTCTATAATGTATCTTAACGCCAATGCTAATCTTTTGCATGCAGAGCAGAGCCCATAACCCGCTTTCAACCAGTTTAGCAGGTTCATATTGGTGTAGTTGCGGCAAACGGGAAATGCCAACATCCTTGCCTGTGGCGTGCGAAACATTACACTAAATTTAATACGGCGGAACATTCCGCATTTTCCCTTGCTATTTTGAGCTCCGTTGCCCTGCTAGCGAAAGGACTGTGACTACAGTGACCACGTGGTCATACCTAGTAATTTCGGTAATAACTGAAGTCATTTCGGTCAC